GAGAATAAATCATATTAAATTCAAAATCATGTTTTTTATTACAATATTCTTTGAGCTTACTCGCATACATATATATAAAAAACATATCTTTAGTACATTGCATTGATTAAAGTAACATCATTGTTTCTTGAAATAATAATGTTGATAAAAAAATTAATCATTTTGTAGTTAAAATTTATAACGCAAGAAATAAATAACAGGCATTTATGACTGACAACAAAATCAGTTTTATTTTATAATTTATTCTTTTTGCAATAATATAATGAAATTAGAAATTATGATGCATATGTTAATTTGTATATACATATATTTATTGAGTCTAATCTAACATATAATTTATTATTTTTTGTTAATTCTACATTATAATAATCTATACTATACCAATCGAAACGTACCTCTCTCCGTCATTATTGCATAGAATAGATAACAATAAAATAAGACAAGGATGCGTTTGCTAGCTACAAAAGACATTAATTTTGTTTCTTAATAATTATCTTAAAGTATAACACATTCAACATATTATAACATATAAAATATTTTATATTATACCGTAGCAAAACACTGTAAGGACGATATAAACAATCCACCGACATTCAGACCAAAAGACTTGTTGCCTTTTAGCAATAGAAATTGTATCAATTTTTGTATGTATAAAGGAGTTATGTACCACTGAGCTTCGTATCTACATAGTAACAATATAAAGAACCAATAATTTAAGAAAGAAGATACTTATAAAGACTTTTACGGCATGTGTACATTGGCTGTATGTATTGTATTAACTTCCACCTTCGATACTTTAACAGTTTATATAAAACAATATCTGTATAATGTAATAAACTACGATATTTCTTACGCAGTGGCAAATATGAGATCATAATGATCTATAATTTGTTGTCCGGTAAAGTTGGCTAAGAACATGTATATAAAACAAATACATGTTGATATAAAAGTTATTGGAAGTTCCTCAGTATTATATGTGGATAATGATAAAATCTGAAAAAGCTAATGTACAAGTTTTAGTGCAAAAATCAACTTTTAAATCACAATTTGAATTAGATTCTTTACAATCTATTACAAAATTACTTTAGAAATTTTAACTACAACTTATCGTTTAGATTGTAACAATTTTTATAAATAAATGAATCCTTCTATATATTTCTCATTGCTATTGTATTACATTGTAATGACAAATTTTTTCAATCAATTTAATATCAGCTGTCGTTTTAATAAATAATAATAAAAAAATTTAATAAGTAGTAATAAAAAATCTAAATAAAATATTTATGCCAAGGCTGCTGTGTTTATAACTAATCTAAATTAGCAACGTTTTATGAATTAAATGTCTGGCATAATCCGACTTTTGTCATAAAATGTTTTTTACATTTAGTATTTAAAATTCGGATCATAAAAAAACCTGGATAGGGATTTAAAATTTAGATTCAAAAGATAGCCACCGAATGCTATACCGAATAACATAAAAGAATTTAAATTGAAAAACTTTTTCTACAAACTTCAATCTAAAATTTTTAATTTGTTAAAACTATATTACTGAAAATATGCAATTGAGATTATTAATATAAATTATAAAACAACACAGAAATGTTACACAATCCATTAAATGTAAATTTACAAGCGAAACGAAACTTACTCGAAAAGTATTAAGGCTCAAAGCAATTACACTGAGTACTGTTAAAAATATGAAACATATCTCAAATCTAGACATTAGATAGTCGGAAAACCTTTAAAAAAATATGTGCGTGATTTGATATTGCATGTATTATACAGATATTTAAGAATATAAATACCAACATCATTGCTGTCCGATGAATATGTACACCGTAAATGAGGCCTTTGCAAACTAAACTCTTGTTTTTTAGTTTAATACTTGATATATAAATGTCTATTGCATTTTTGATACGGTAACTGTAAATAATTTAGCTATTATAACTGTATAAGAATTTAAGAAAGTTACTATATAACAATGTTAGGCGAATAATAATTCCGAGATTGAAAAGTTGTAATTTTTAAACATGCTTATACATGTATGTATTAACGTAGTTCTCTACGAGTCAGAAATATTTGTCATTATATCACACTATGAGAAAACTATATAAAAATTAATTAATTAATGTGAAAAAAATCGAAAATATCTTTTTGTCTCATCGAGTCTTGATTTCATATTATTAAAAGTTTCTTTTTCAAAATAGCTGAAATAATTATATGGACATTTCATTGTACGCCACTGTACATATAGAGTGTAACTAACAAGTAACTGATTAACCGAAAGGTGATGGTAGGTTGGGTCACATCTTCCTTCAGTTACTTGTTAGATATTCTGTATATTATGCATATTAAAATTTTATTATTTTAATAAGCCAGCTCTATTTAAGAATTTTTTAATATGTATATGCAACATATTTATACAATTTATTGAAGTAGGAGAGACCAGGGCGGAGTCGTCACTACAATTATCTCGAAATCTGTATGTTGTGTGAACTCGCCATTAATATTGTAAACACTACTTATGGTGCCCATGTAACCAACGGAGTTTAGTGAGATTATATGTCATGTTGTGATTTTCATTAAGGCAAACGAGTTTTCGGAGGTCAAAAGTAAAATTTTTTGCGTCAAAAATTTTAAATATTTTAAATATTATTTTCTCTCCGAATCTCGAGATAAGTGATTCTGAAGAGTAATGTCTGCTGAACACGAATCCAGTGAAATTTTTTCATTTTTATTGATTTATAATATTTCATGAGCGATCAAAGTTAAAATTTGTGTCCGGGGCGAAGTCGTCAGCAAGCCATATCATGGAGGTTTCGGGCGAACATCTAAGTCAAAGAAGCAGCAATGGTCGGATTCTGGCAAGGACTTGAATAATATGTGATGCGTGTGCTCAGAGATGACAGAATAGAGCTGACGAGAAACAGTGCATTTCGTGCGAGCGTAGGGCACATAAGTGTGCGCTTTTCTTGTAATTGTTTTCCGCCATCGTGTTTTTAATGTTTCCATTTTTCTATTAAAAAATAATTAATAAAATGTACTTATCATTTTTCACGATTGGAATTGTGACTTTTCATTTAAAATTCAGTCCGAGAATGTAGTGACGACTCCGCCCCGGCAATTTTGACATTTCCATTTTTGCACCTTTGTCGTTTTCACTCTATACCAGTTGAACAAAGCGACGTAGACCAAAAATGTCCCGATAAATTTAGTAGCCAAGGGTTCACTCTTTACAACGGTATATCACATTTTACTAAAATTATTTGTTGTTAAAAATCGGCACCGAAAAAATAGTGACGAGTTCGCTGCGGTTTCCCCTATATATTTTTTAATCTATATTTTCAATGTAAACTTTTGATTTTAAAATTTTCAGATATAAAAAATTAAGTTTTTTTTCTTAATTTTAACTTTTTGATTATCTTAATATTTATTGCTTTTACCTTACCTAGCAATTTTAAACATTCCGCAGGCATGTTGAAGGAATGCCAAGAGCATTGCTCCTGTTGCTAATAATACGGTTACTCCTATACATAAAGTTAAATTTGTATGGAATAGCAATACGTAGTAATGTTTTTCTTGATCGATCAAATACTCAGTTGAGGTTTGTAGGCGATATGATCGAGACTTGTTTGCGGATAAAATAATGTCGATAAAATCTGGCCTCAATTGGGCGATAATAATAAAAGATGCAACGAAAAGGAGACATACTAAACAACATTATAAAGACTTAATATAAATTATAGTTTGTTAACTATAACTAAAATTTAAAACTTATATTAAGATAGGTACTATATTTGCAGTATTTGATCTATGTGATTCTTTTTTCCGCAATTCAGATATAGGGGAGACCGGGGCTAAGCCGACAACGGGGCTAACTTGACACTA